AAGAAACACGATTTGAGGAATTATTTTAAAAGTGCTTTTGATTATGAAAACTGACATTAATTTTGAAAAATGCTATAATAAAAATCTTTGTCATCGTTATCAAATGATGAAAGTTTTAAAGAAAAATGGCAATCAAGTCTTCAATACCCAAAAATTTGGTAATATTTTAGCCAAAGGTTATTATAAGATAGTTCCTAATATTTTTGAAGGAGATAAAAATGGTTTCTTTGCTGGCATCTTTAATCGAGGGGTTTATCTTTATGAAAATCACCCTTCTGAATACTTTTTAGAAAAAGGAGAAACAGGAAATTTCCCGAGAGGAGTATTAAATAAAGACCCTGTGATGACTAATACTACCATCCAAATTAACCATAAAAGTGCTATTGGACGGGATAATTTAGTTCATGTGGATGATATGAGTTGAGTGTGAAAGGATAGTTATTTGAGACCAGTGGGTGGAGGAACTGACTTATTTCCTCAATTAATTAATCAAGGTCGGCATAAATTAAAAGTGGATGATGGTAGTGCTTGAAAATTTGACGGCTATGCTCAATGAAGTGGAAGTGTTGTCTTACCGAAGAATGTGAAATATGAATGATATATGCATGCTTTTAGTTCCGGAGAAAAAGACGAGAAAAATTTCCGAGGAGTAGATGATAATATTACAGTGAAAATTAGTCAGGATGGAGCCGATTGAAGTTTAGATATTACTGGTAAAGTAGAAATTACCGAGACAATTGGTAATCCTGATGCTATTGGTGGAGGAGTAGAAATTGATGATGTAGAAGAATTATTGCCCGATATGGAGGATGAACAACAAACTGAGGGCTTAGATAACTCAGATAAGAATATGGAACCAGAAGGAGAACAAGCCCAAGAAAAACAAGATGAAATTCAAGACGAATTAGAACCCGAACCCGAAGCCCAAAAACAGGATGAAAAACAAGAAGAATTAGAACAGGAAGACGAAAAAACCAAAGATAAACAGAAGCAAAAGCAGAAGCAAAAAGAAAAGCCACAGGAGGACGAGCAACAAGATGAACCAGAATATAGTCGACAGAATGAGAAATAAAATTTTAGCAATTGACCCAGGAGGTAAAACTGGAATTTATTATCGAAATGGTAAAGAAGAAGAATTTATCGAAATAAATAAAATTTGAAAGGAAACTTATGGAGATATTAGGGAACTAGTAAAGAAAGAAAAGATTAATCAGGTTATTTTTGAAGATACTAATTATATCCACAAAAGAACTAAGGACGGACTAAACTTATTTCGGTTATTAGGAGCCTTGGAAACATTAGAAGTAGAGAAAGTAAGGAGTGTCAATGTTTTAAGAGTTAAAGAACTCACTAAAAAACTACTAAATGGTATTTATCAAATAGCAGAAATAGAATACCAAAAAGGTAGAGGTAAAGGCTGAATGTATCAAGGAAAAAGAATTAGTGTTCACCAATTAGAAGCCTTTTTAGTTTTCTATCTCTCTAATTCTTGCTAAAAAAACTTAATTATGAAAGTTGATGAAAAATACGGCTATATTTTCTATTTCAAAGAAGGAGAACCCAAAATGCCTAATAAAAAGCCTCATGTTCATATTTGGGGTCATGGTCGAGAAATACAATTTTTTCTTTCCCCTCTCCAAGTAAAAAAGAAAATCCCTAAAAACTTTCCTGAAAGAGAAGAAAGTAAATTAAAGCAAGTAGTTAAAGAGAAATGACAAACATATTTAACTAAATGAGAAGAAGCCAAAAATAAATAATATGACAAGATTGAGAGAAATTAAATCTGAAATCAGTAAACCAAGCAAACTAATAATGAAGGAGGAAATTTGTTATCACCCTAACATTTCTAAATTAGAAATAAGCAAGGAGGAGATTATTGCCTTTTTAGATGATGGTCGAAAAACTAGTATTCCGATTAATTGGTTTAGAGAATGAGGACACAAAAATATTAAATCCGAACAACTAGAAAAATACGAGATTTGAGGTGGCAAAACTCTTCATTTTCCAGTAATAGATGCTCATATTGGAATAGAAGTATTTACCGAAGGATTAAAAGGGATTTGTCCTGATTGTCATTAATTTTAACTATTTCAACATCTCAATAAATCAATCTCTACTTCTAAAATCTCGAAAGTTTAACATTCCCTCTTTCAGCATATTTACTCATTTAGATAGTAAGTTCTTTTTCTCTCTTAGAACACAATTTTTTAGTTTACTTTTAGCCTTTTCTTCTAAATTAAAACAGAAATTTACTAATTGGTTATCAGTTTCTTTCTTATTTTTAGTAAAATGCATCAGGCAATATTTTTTATTGACCTTTCTTACTCCTAATTCACAAAAATAAAAGTCTTGGATAGCATGGAGAATTTTATATTTACCAGGTTCATCAATCATAAAATCATCTCAATTCCTTTGACTGGGATTAATTCTTTCTTCCAAGGCTGAATAATGAGGGTCATCTTCTCCCTCAATGAGGTTAATATAAAGCAACCATTCTACTCCCTTTTTGTCTTTCGCTATTTCTAGCACTCCGGAATTATCATTCTTTTCTTTTTTATTTTCAGCCTCTTTTTTTAGTTTAAATAAGTTAGTAAATACATCCAACAGTCAAGCACTTCACGAATAAGCATTAGCCAAAAAAGTTATTTTGGTTGGTATTCTGGCTCCGTCTTTTCCTTTTCTTCCTTTTAAACTCTTTACTAGGTCTCGAAAGTCATGTTGTTCTCTTGGCAAGAATTCTTGGTCGATTGGTATGGCTTCCTCAAAAACTATTTCTTGGAAGGAAGTTCGGGCAATGGCTCCTCTTACTCTTTGAAAACTAAATAAATCGTAGAAGTGAATTCTTAATAGTCCTTGATAATAAACTCCTTGCTCTTTGACTTCAAATTGGTTAAGGTTAATATTTTTCTCTTCACAAAAAGAATAAATGAGAGACTGGAAAAAGGGTTTAGTAGCCAATAAACTATCATGCCACCTTCTTCTTATTCAGGCTAAGTGGGTTTCTTTATTAGTAGTGATAATAGTTAAGAATTCTCAGCCCTTAGTATCTGATTTGCCTCTTCCTCTTTCGGTGAGGTAGATGTGGAAGAGAGCAGGATTATTATAAATGGATTGTCAGTTGATATAGTTTTTAGTCATTATTAAGTTAAAAAAATTTCACGTGTGTATATAGGCAGAAGGTCAATGGGGGCTAGAACGAGAAATAAAAATCGAAGTTCTAGCCCTTTCAGAGAAAGGTGCTATCTCTTGCTGTCTTTATTTCGTTCTATCCCATTGAGACCTTCCCCATCTTTTTCCATAGCCAAGAAGTCTAGTAGTTGTTTGTTATTGTAGAATTTTCGGTATTTAAAAACTAATTCTTGACCTGTTATGGCTAATTTAGTAATCTGTTGTCATTTGCTCGGTTCTAATTCTTCCTCCGTGGCTTGTAATTTTTCCTCTCCTACTTTTAGAATGTAATAACTCTGCCCCATTCTTTTACCTTCTTTAAATTTCTTTTCAATTATTTGTTCGGGAGAGGTTAAGGAGCCGACCAAAGAATAAATGGTGAAGTTTTTAGTTAGTCCTTCGGCATAGTAAGAAGTAATTTTTTTAGTTAGTTCGGTTAGACAATTAAAAGAAAGTTGACTATTTGGAGTTCCTAATTTTTGGCAAAGGTAATTTTCTATTTCCTGTCGATTAGTTATTTTTTTATTTTCTAACTGGTTTCAGAAAGAGGTTTTTGCTGTTTCTCTTTTGCTGGCTAGATTAGTCATATAAGGAGTTTTATATTCCCTTATTTTCGAGAGAAAAATTTATCTTTTAGTTATTAGTTTAGTTAACCAAATTATTAACCATTTTAATAACTGTTAAACCATTCTAAACCCTTTCTAAATAAGCACTTAAAACAAAATATATAAGATACAAAAACCATGACTGAAAATCAAGCAAAAATAACCCCTTCTAAAAATATTGAAGAACAAGAAAAATTAAAAGCCAAATACGAAGAAGAAAGTAAAGAAAAAGACCAACAAATCTTAAACTTACAAAACACCATCACCAAAAAAAACGATGAAATCTTTGAACTACAAAAAGAAAATAAAAAGTTAGCCGAAGAACGAGACGATTGAAAAAACGAGGCTCATGCTGCCCGGAAAGTTAGTCAAGAAGGCAAACAACACAAAGAAACTACTGACTTCTTAACCGAATTTAACAAACTCCAACAAAAGAAAGGAATTAACATTAACGAATAATAAATATGAATAACCTCAATCCAATCCTAGAAAATTTAAAACAAAGAACGGTTCAAGAAACCCCTATCAAATTAATCTATGCTAAAAATGACTTCTCGGTCTTTGATAAAGGAGCCTCGGACTTCTACGGAGCCGAAGACGAATTCATTTCCGACCAACCTCTGGAAGGAGTAAAATGAAAAAAAGAACTCACGGAAAAAGATTTTAAAACTCTCCCGCCCGTCTTCTCCTGTAAACTAGGAATGATTATGGACGAAGTATTTAACACCATCTTCCATAAAAAGAAAATGAAACAGGCTCTCCAAAGTCCAGCCCACCAAGCAGCCTTAATTGACCGACTAACTGATAGCATGAAAACTAAGGCTATTACTACTTTAAATAAAAAGATTGTTAGTCTTATTTCTAATAAGGATAATTACAAAGAAGACACCGGCTGAGTAGAAATAACCGAAGAACAAGCCACTATTGACAGTTTAGATAAGGCTATTACTATTTTAAAACTAATCAAAAGTGCTTATAATGGCATGGATGAAGTTAGCACCAAATATAATAAAGGCTATCAAAAACCAGGCTCTCATGACTGAAATGATGTGGAAACTAATTGTGAAACTCCCAAGTCCAAAGTTTTAACCATTGACCCTGACTTTTTGGATGACTTAGAAATTCACTTTTTAGCTGATGTTGCCCGAGATAGTAATCTTAACCCTTACAAACTCTTTAAAGAGGTAATTACTAAGAAATTAGAAAACGGAGTCTTAGCCACCATTCACGACGAGAAATCAGTCTTTTATCGAATTATCAACCCCGAAGAGATACAGCATGAAAAGACTTTGGGAGGAGGTATGGAAAAGTTTGCTTATGAAGTAGAAGTAGTCGGAGGCATGATACCTTTTACTAACTCCTGAGCTTTGGTTAGACAATAAACCACCATGCTAATCTTACGAGGGGAAATTAGCCGACAGAGAGAACAAAAGAAAGAAAACCTGATTAACCTTAACCTAACAACCGAAAGACAAAGAACTCTCCAATTAGAAAGGGATTTGAACTCTATTCTAACTAAATGAAAGTATGGCAATAAACCCTTTAAAAATAGTGCTGATTTTTTAAAGATAATGGGACCCTGAATAAATGACCGAATCAAAGACCAAGAGGAATTAGAAAAGTTTTTAAAGGAAAAAGGAGTAAAGTCTTTAAAGGACTTAGAATAATTAACAATTATGAACTACCGAGAACAACAATTAAGGCAAATAATTAAAAAGGATTATGTGAAAAAAGTTGATTACCAACAATTAGTCCAAGATTATCAACATTTACAAGCCAATTACGAACTAATTGAAAAGGATGTTGATTATCAACTACATAAGGCTACCGAACAAGAACGAGACCAATTAAAAAAGGATAATCAGCAATTAGAAACTAAAACAGAACTATTAGAGCAAAAAATAACGGATTTAGAGAAGGCTTTACTAAATCTAGCCAAACAAAAAATCAAGGGCAAAAAGGAGGCTGAAAGTTTAATTAAGGAATTAGAAACTCAATGACAAACCGAAAAAAAGGAATGAAATCGGCAAAAAAAAACAACTCCAAGACGACTTATTTACTACCAAACAAGAAGCCAGTAATGACTTGCATTTAATTCAAAAAGAGAAAAACCAATTAGCCAAAGAAGTCCAAGAATTAAATGCTAAAAATTCTGATTTACTAAAAGATAAAGAAAACTTAACTAATTCTCTTACTCAACAAGAACAACAAAATAAAGCTCTCTCAACTGATAAAGAAGAGTTATTAAAAAAATTAACCGAGCAAAAAAACATCAATCAATCATGAATAGAACGAGAAAAAGAATTGCAAATACACCATAAAAAAGAAGTAGATAAATTAGTAAAGGCCAACCAGGAACTTAATTTGGCTTTGGAAAAAAGGAAAGAAAATCAAACTCTCCTTGACCAAAATTACATCAGTTTAAAGGGGGAGCAAGAAAAGTGAATAAAGGATGGTTCGGAATGAAACGAACAGTTAAGAAAAATCCATCTCTTATTTGACCCCACTATTGAAAAACATGGTCCGGTTAGTTTTCATGTTTTATATGAATTATTAAGACAAGTAGCCGAGAGAGAGAGAGAGAGAGAGAGAGAGAGAGAGAGAGCAATCTAACTCCTCCCATTTACAGTCGACAGAGAAAGAAAAAACCCTGAGAGAAGAAATAACCAACTTACAAACTGAATTATATTGAGAAAGAAATAAAACCAACTGTTCCCACTGTCAAAAAACCTTCCTCACCCCGGCTGTTGGCTCTCCTCCTTATTACTGTGCTGACTGTTTAATAAATGACAAAAGAAATCCCAACTAATATGACTGAAACTAAAAAACCCACTCAAAAAGACTTGTGAAAAGCCACTCAATTAGAATATTTACATAACTGTTTTATCGGCATTTCTCATTTAACTTGCTCCAATCCTGACTGTCCCTTAGTTCTGAATTGAGGAGATATAGAAAAAAAGCAAAGCAAGAAAGGAAAATGTGCTTTTTATTTAGTCTCTCAAAAAGAAAATAAATGAGTAGTAGTGGATTTAGAAAAGTTTGAAGAAAATGACCTGGGAGGTTATGACAATATTGAGATTAAGTTTAAGAGTGGGAAAAGTCAAAGAACTAAACCCACTAACTACCAAGAACCCCAAAAAGTTTTATCTTCGGGAGTAGTGGAAAAAGAGAATAAAAAAGAAATTTTCCTAAAAGAGGAGGAAATCATTTTGTTCTTTAATAATTCCACCAAGAGACCTAATTTAGAAGATGCTGAGGAAATTTACTTAAATGACCTTTGAGATATCAAGGACAAAATCAAATGAGACCGAGACAAATCCAAGAAAAAAGTCTTTTTACATGTGGAAAATGAACCCAGTGAAAGCACCGAAGCCAAAGAAATAGATGCTGCTGAAAAGGATTATCTTTTCTATATCTCTGACCCTTCGATTACTAATGAAATTAAAAAGATGGAAATCTACTCCCCTTCCAAAGGAACCGAAGAAAGAACTAGATTATATAAAGACTTTCATGAAGAACTATCCGAACTAAAAGAAGTTTACGGCATAAGACACAATACCGACCAAAAAGAAGAAAGACAAAACAACCCTGAAATAGACATGATAAAGTCTCCTTTCTTAGCCTTAGAAAGAGATAAATGACGAGAAAGAATGAAATCCATTAAAGATTTTGAAAATAAAAAAGGTTGTGATGGTATTCATACTTTAAGTTATGGTAGTTTAGGGGAACACCAAGCCGAAATGATGTTGCAAGAGCAAGTGGAAAGTTTGGAGGAAGAAAAAAGGTCGGAACAGTCGGAACAAGAAAATAAAGAAGCAGTAGAAGAAAATGCTACTTTATTAGTTAAGGAGAAATAATATTATGGTGAATTGTTGTGAAATTGCTTTATTTTTAGGAAAAGTAGTCTTGGCAGCCTTAGCTGTTAATGTGCTTACTTTGGCTATTTTTGCTGGTTATACTGTCTCAATGAAAAAAGACCAAGTTAAGTTAAAGAAGGAAAATCAAGCCATCAAAAAAGAACTAGCCGAAGTGGAAAGAGTAAATGGTAAAGAGAAAAGAGATATTAAAGAATTACAAGAAGAAGTAGCAGAATTAAAGAAGAAATTACCAACTAAATAATTATGACAAATAAGAAACAATTACAAAAGGAAATTAAAGACGAAGGCTATGAAAGTGATAATCCTAGTCGGAATAATCGGAATAATAAAAACTTAGTCTCTAATAAAACCACTAAGCAATTAGAGAAGGAAGTAAAATTTTGGTCTCAAACAGCCAGTAATCATTTAACTAACCTTCAAAGGGAACAAGCCGAAAATGAAAACTTAAAGGAAGAGATAAAAGAGTTAAAAAAGCAAAAACCAACTAAAACTCAGACAGAATTAGAAAAAGCCCTTATAGAAGCCAACCAAAAAATAAGAGACCAAGCCAAGACTATTCAGGACTTAACTGGTAAAAATAGTGAAATTATTAAGAAATTAGAAAGTAAAATAAAAGAACTAAATAAAACTATTCAAGGCTTACAAAAGCAAGTAAAAAACAAGGAAGAAGTTAAAGAACCAATTAATAAATCCTTCTTCTGTGATGGTTGCCAACTAACTAAACAAGGAATTTATATCAAGAGGAAAATCAACAGTCCTTTTGAACCTCGTTTACACGGAAGAATTTGTTATTTATGCTCTTCTTGTTCTCCTTATTATAAAGAACTAAATGATGCTGATTATGACAAAGATAATAACCCTTATAAACTCTACTAATTATGACAAAAACTCTCTACGACACTTTTAAAGATTTTCCCTCTTTTTATAACCAACTTAAACCTCGTTTTATCTCTGATTTTCGAATTAAAGACCTCATCACTAATATTGCCTATTCCTCCCAAGTTTATCATACTTATAAACACGACCGACATTATAATGACAGCGATGCTGCCTTAAATAAAATCATGGCTCAGATTGTTTTTGATTGTGCTGAAATTAGGAAAAAAGAACTAATTTGAAATAAAGTTTTTAACCAAATCGAAAAATTACGAGATATTACCACGGAAACTACCCAAAGAAGTCAAAAAGAACAAATCACCAAAAACCCTAAATCTATTACTACTTATAATGAGCCTTTAATGGCTCTTCAAGATTTAGCCAGTGGAGCCTTTGGCTATCACAACCGAGCCGATTGATTGAAGTCAACCCAAAAACAAGCAGGAGACATTACCATTACTCAAAAAGATGGTTATAAAGTAGTTACCAAGGAAGGAGGAACTAAAATCCAACCCAACTGAACTAAAATTGAAACCGAAGATAATGCTGGCATTGCCCGAATATTAACGGCTTTTCAATATATAGAAATAGATTTAAATAAATATTTATTAAGATATAAAAAATTCTTTTATCGTTCTTATGGATTAGAAGGACAAGTAGAATATATTCCTTCTTCAAAAAGACATGTTTTTAAAACTTATGAAGAAATCGAAGAAGAACAAAAGCCCGAAGAAGAAAAGAAAACTAAAATTGCCGCCGAAGAACCCGAACTCTCTTTTAATGAATGGAAAAAGAAATTCCGGCAAGAACACCCAACCGAAAAACCTACTTTTCAACTTTACACTATTGAAAGATTAGAAAAAAGAAAGGAGCAAATAATTAAAGAAATCAAAAAAACGAGTGGAGTATTTAAGGATAAATTAAACTTACGATTAACTTTTACCGAATGCCTAATTGAAGGATTTAAGAAAGAAATAACCATGTGTGAAGTTGGTAATCCTGAGGAAAAACTGCCTTTGGAGGCTACGGACGAAGAATTAGAAAAAGCCTCCTTTTGAGCCAAAGTCAACCGAGTAGTCGGATTTAAAGAGTTTAAAAAAATTATTGGTTCTTTTGTGAGGGGTTATAACCGACTAACCGAAAAGAAAATAGATAAACCTTGCCAAATGTATTTACTTTTAGGACCACCAGGAGTAGGAAAAACTTATATTAGTGAAATGTTAGCCGAAGCCATGAACCGACCGATTGAAGAAATAAGCATGAATGGGAAAAAAGACCCTAACATTTTCTTTGGAGTTCCCCAAGAATGGGCTGGGGCAGGAGTAGGAGAAATCTTAAAAGCCATGGTGAAACATAAAGACCGAGCTCCCGTAATCTTATTGGATGAGTTTGAAAAATGTGATAAACAAGTTCAACAAGTATTAGGTAATTTAACCGATGAAACCATCAATAAAAAATTTAAAGATGTCTTTTTTGATTTTCCCGTGCCGATAAATGAAGTAATATTTTTCTGCACGGCTAATTTCCCCGAAGATATTGAGGGGTTTTTACTGAGTAGATTGACCCGAGTAAAAATTGAACCCTTAACCTTTAATGAGAGAATAGAAGTAGCCCAAGGGTTAATTGATTACAATTTTGCTAAATATGAGATAAGCCATTTAAAAGATAACTTTGATTTAGATTTAATTAAAAAATGCTTATGTAAAGAATGAGGTGTCCGACAGTTAAAGAGTAATATTCAACGATTAGCCTACGAAGTATTTTTATTAGAAGGAGATAACGAATTACCCGAAGACTGACAGGATTATGATTGACCGATAGTTCAGGAAGAAGAATTAGACTTTGGAGACCCCAAAAGAAACCGACCAGCCTGTCCGTTTGCTACGGATAAAACCCAAGAGCATAGAAAAGGTTGTGAGTGTTTTAAACCTGAAATGGTTCCAGGATGAGTGGAAAATATGGGAGAATAGATTACTTTAATTGCTATTTTTCTTTAATCAAGGATAAACAAATCAAAAAAATAATATTACTGCTACTATCACTATTCCTCCTACTATATAATAAGGCAAATAGTTGGTTGGCTTAGGACTATTTTGATTTTGTTGATTTTCTAACTCTGAACTATCTAAAGAATTAATTCCTTTATTTTGAAAATAGGCTCTTAAAGGTTGAATTTGGGAAGGAGTATTAGCCACTGGAATGGTTTTAGTTTCTTTTTTATTTTTATAAGTAATTAACCATTTATTATCTTTTAATTTAACAGATTTAACGTTATTACTCTCAAAATATTCCCTGACTGAACTAGGAATGGCTGAACTTGGACCAGGGATATTAGGGTCTTCATTCTTTTCTTTATGCTTAGTGCAAGTATAATCATTATTTCCTTGGTGATAACAATCTTCGTGAATTATATACTTAGTTTCATTATCATTTCAACTTCAACTGTGAATTTCTACTAATGGAGATTTACCACAATTACCTCGGCATGGCAAAAAAGTGGTGTTAGTAAAAAGAGGGTCTTTATCTAGTGGCTGATTTTCGTCTCTCTCTCTCTCTCTCTCTCTTGCTTACAAGTATTACAACTATTATTACTTAATTTTTGATGGGAGCAACTATAATAAGTGCCTTTGCTTAATTTTTTATCTGACATATATTTATATTTTTTTAGATAATAGACCAGATAACAAACTTTTTTATAAAAAATTAATATATAGGCAAATGAGACATGGTAATCAGGGATATTCTAGATAAAGCCATTGATTAGCAAGGGTTAGAAAAAATGTCTGTTAATTAGATTTTATTCGCAATTAAATACAAACCAAAAAGAAGTATAGTCAGCCACAAAAGGAAAACAACAAGCAAAAAAAGTGCGTTTCTGCCTGTTTCAATAGCACATTTTTTACAAAAATAACCTGAATACCATCATCACCTAGTATGGGGTCAAGTATGATTCCAAATTGGAGCCCTTGTTTTTCAGACTTCTTTCCCTTTGGGAATTTTCTTTCGGCATTTCTTACATAACACCATAAGTTTAGAATAATTTATTTTTTGTTCTCTTAAAACTATTGAAAAATTTAACTCTTTTTCAAAGCCAAAACAACCATCCCAATTTTATCCCCCCTCTTCTTCAAGAATTTTCCTACAACATTTGCTACATAGCATAAATTTAGATTATTTTTTAGACTATTTATTTTTTTCCAAGTAAGAAGTAAATAAAGTAAAAACTCGTTGAAAACTATCATCATCATTTATTAAATACTGCCAATCATTTCCCAAATCTCCACTGTGTCCTATATTTCGATAATCTTTTAAAGAGTATTTTGTAATCAGTTTAGTACTAAAATCGTCGTCAGTTAACTTATTGAGATAAATATTAACATGTTTTTGTTGAGGAACCACAGACAGTAAAGGATTTTCATGGCTACTATATTTAATATGTCAAGCACTTTTGGACTGGCTTCCTGTCAATGTTCTAATCTGTAAAGAATATTTACCTTTTAGAAAATCATCTATTTGATTAACCCACCTTTCTATGTTTGGTTCTCTTATTCCTCTTTCCAGAAAAAATTGTTCCAAACTTTTTCCTTGATCATTGTCCATCCCACTTGGTAAAAAGTTTGTTCGTTCCTCGTCCGTTTTTTTATTTACTTTCTCCTCGCCTTTTTTAATATTTTTTTTGATTCCTAATAATTCTAATTGTTCGGTTTTGCCTTCCAGATACAAAATATCATTTTCGTATTTTTCCACCTTTATTAAAATGGTTTCTTTATCGCTTGCTTCGTGAGGATGGAAAAAGGGACTAATGCAAATTACTTTCGCTTTCTCTCATTTTATATCGCGGTAATTTAATCACTTTGACTGTTTGCCTTTTTCTTTGTTCCAGGAATTAACTAAATCAAACTGCTCTTCCAAATCATTTTTCAAATCACTCAAATAATTGAGAGCTTGGTTTTTGACTTTTCCGCCCCGTGCTCCCCTCAAAGTCTTGTACTCGATAATTAAAAAAGTATTTTCGCGGAGGTGATAGGCAATCGAGTCCACTCGATTTCGCGAAACGGCAAAACTATGCTCTCGCTTCAAGAACTCTAATTTTGGAAAAAAGTCATTTAAATTATTTTCAAAAATATCCTGGATATCTTTTCTTTCCGATTTAAATTCTATTAAATCTAGTTTATTATAAAGTTTGTTACTCAGTTTATAGAGATGATAAGTCGAACCCTTTTTGTTCATACCAATAATAAAATTTTTTATATTGCTGTGGGATTGGTGCAATCGGTAGACACACAAGAATGAGGTTCTTGAAAGTGAGGGTTCGACTCCCTTATCCCACACCATAAAAATATTAAAATACCGGCAAAAAAACAGCAATTATGAAGTTGAAACAAAAGGGACGAGGTGCCATGCCAAAATGTTAAAATTATAATATAGATGACAAAGATAAATTATCACATGGGGATGTGAGTTTTGACTTAGGTTGAGGTCGGTAATTATCGCAACAAACCTGTTTTGAAAAAAAAATCAAGACGAAGACAACAAAAACAATATTCCAGTAGGATTGGTAAATAACCACTACGGATATAACTACGCGAGAATATAATTCTTAACTAGTTCTTGTCGGTTCGCCCAATTCGAATCGGTTCGTAAATAAAATTTGGGTCAATTGTTAAAGTTTGCTTATTTACTTGTTAATTGTCTATTCCAAAAATATCCTACCTATTAAAATGTATTCGTTTATTAATACTTAATAGGGAAACTCAAACAATAAACTAAGTTGTAGAAGTAATTGCTAGCCATCTAAGGACACGGGTTCAATCCCGTCATCTCCACCATTATATTTATAATTACTAATATTTGCTTAAGGTTTATTAGATGAACTGGAAGCCAAAATATAGGAAGTGGGTAAGATGAGAACGGTAATTATGCGACGTTCGCAAGGTGGTGGGCAAGTGGTTGATATGAGTTAGAAGTAGGTGATAGTGGTATCATACGAGGGACTATTATATTATTACAAGACAAGGAAGGGGGGATTTTTTAAAGGGGGTAAGATTATCAAGATTGATATGAAAAGTATCTTTCGTTGTTTTCGCTAAGAAAATTTTTTGCGACATCCAAAATAGGAAAGGCAAAAATTAAATTAAATATGGGTAACTCTAGGTTCTCAAAAAAAAAAAAAAAAAAACATTTATTGGTAGTTAGTGGAATATTTATTGTTTTTTTATTGGTTGGAAGTGTTTTTCTAATTTACAGAAATAGTTCAATCAAAACTAACAATAATAAGCCATTGCAGGAGGAAAAAAAGCCAACTCTACCTCCCGATAATCCCCAATCAGACCAACCAAAAAATCCTCCGCCTCAGCCAGACCCAGCCGACAGCGGTAAAACTGAACTAAAAGTTTTTTGGAATGGCCTTCCTTCAATTATGATTGATGGATATGACGACCACTGAGTTTTTGTCTCGGAAAAAAATCCCGCAAAACGCTTTTTAATTTCCCAAAAGTTTCCTGTTTTATTAAACAAAAATCTGCATGGTAGCGGATATTTTACACTTTCTTATGCTGAAAATGAAATGGCGAAAAAAGTAGTAAAAACTGGCCAGGGAGGTAGTCAATTGATTCTTTTGGAAAGTGGTTTCACTTTAACTTCTTATTTACCGCTTCAAGACGACCCCGATTTTCTAAATCGCTTTGAAAACACCGAGAAAAAAGAAGTCTATTTTGATTATTCTAAATACAATGGTGGTGATTATGTTTTTATTGATAGTGAAATTCAGGAGGGAAAACCTGAAAAGGATTTAGATAAATATGTTTTTCATCCAGATAATCCCTCCATTAAAAAACTACTTGCCAAAAACCACTTACAAATCCAAAACCGACGATATGAGTTCGCATTTCGAGTTTTTTATTTAGAGCGAAATATCGAAAAATATGACCCAAATACCTGCACTTATTATCTTAATAATGAAGCCGAAGTTCAAACTGCTACTTCCCGTCCCTAAAATTTTCATTTATTACAAGCACCTTTTTTTATGGAACCGGTGAGAAAAATTAATAATAACCATGGCAGAAGAAAATAGGCAAAATAAATATTCCTACCAAGATTGTTGAAATTATGCTCTTTCTTTGGGAGAAAAAATTGAGATTAAAGAGGTACAAAATGATATAATTGTCCTTTGCCAAGCAGTTCCAGAAGATTTTTGATTAAATTTTGCTAAAAAAGCGTTATCTACTTCTGATTATTCAAAAATTTGCCGTAATTTAAATAAATACATAAAAGAAAAATATCCAGTTCCTTATTTGACTAATAAAGTTTCTTTTTATGGGTTGAATTTCTATGTTGAAAAAGGAGTATTTGTTCCCCAAAAAGATACTGAAATATTAGTAGAAAAAACCCTAGAATTGGCTGATAAAATGTGAGGATCAAAAGAACCATTAAAAGCTCTTGACCTTGGTACTGGATGTGGTAATATAGCGATTTCTTTGGCTAAAAATCGGCCATTTTGAAGTTTGATAGCGGTTGATATTAATCAAAAAGCCTTAGAGGTAGCCAAAAATAATGCGGCAAATCAGCAAACAAAAAATATTGAGTTTATATGAAGTGATTTATTTAGCAATATAGACAAGAACCAAAAATTTAATATTATAGTTGCTAATCCTCCTTATATTGATGCTAGCGAGTATGAAAATCTTTTTCCTGCCACCAAGGAACAACCCCAAGAGGCTCTGGTGGCCGCCAATGAGGGTTATTTTTTTTACCAAGAAATCTTTCCTCAAGCCCGTAATTATTTGGCTAAAAAGTTTTTATTGGTGGTGGAAATAGGTTATCAACAAGAAGAAAAAGTTATAAAATTAATAATAGAACACTTTCCTCAAGCCAAAGTTTCTATTTTCACTGATTATGAAGGCCATTCGCGGGTAATAGCAATTTATCAGTCATAAAGGGTTTGGTAGCTCAGTCGGTTAGAGCGTCTGACTGAAGATCAGAAGGTCGGCAGTTCGATTCTGCCCTAAACCACCAAGTCAATAATATTAATAAAAATAAAAATATATGGTAGCAAAAAAGACAGCAACGTCAGTATCAATAGTAGGAAAAGCAAAATTAGCAGAAAGAGTTTATAATGCCAAGGGTCGAAAACTTTCTTTAACTAAAGCACAAATTGAAGCAGTGGTTAGTGGAGTGTTAGAAGAAACTAAAAAATCACTCCTCAAAGGAGAGTCAATTCGTTTTCCGGGTTATTACTCCTTACAAACCGTAATTCAGAAGCCCCGAGTGGCCATGAACTTACAAACTAAGAAAAAAATGACTATTCCTGCGAAAAGAGTTCCTAAGGTTAAGTTTTCAAAAGATTTAAAAGAAGAGATTAGTAAGAAAAAATAGTAAATAATTGAATAATCGGCGGAAGGTAAAACTTCCGCTACTGCGAATATAGTTCAACGGTAGAACCTTAGCCTTCCAAGCTAATGATAAGGGTTCGATTCCCTTTATTCGCTCCATAAAAAGTATTAAAACATTAAAGATATAAGTAAAATTAAATATATAAAATAATAAATATGAATAGTGAATACAAAATAAAAGAATTTAAAGGAAAAATAAAAGATAAGGATGGTAAAAACGATAAGTTTGAAATAGTTAAGTTTGAAACCAAAGATCCCAAAATAACAGTAGATAAAGATGGAAAGGGTACGGCAGAAGTTAAAGCCACAATAAAGAAAGCAGATGATAAGGGAAAGTTTGGAGACGAACAAAAAGATAAGACAATAATAATTGAATACGAAAAAGGTACTTTTTCTCACTATGGTAAAATTAAGAAAGTAGATGGTGAAGAGGTCCAAGCCCAAGATGTTAGTTTTTCTGGCATGAATAGTTGACGCCTTACATTTTGGATAACAATTGTCGTTATTGTTGTGGCATTAGCTGGACTTATCTGATGATGAGTTGCTTCCAGCCGAAAAGAAGATAAAGAAGAAGAAAGTTTATAAGGGCGGGAGGTTAATTACTCCCCCTCACTTTTATGCTAAAAAGTTTAGTTAAGGAAGAGGATTTTGATTCTTTTCTTCAAAGCAATCAAAATAAATTGGTTCTAGTAAAGTTTTCGACGGTCTGGTGTTCTCCCTGCCAAGTGCTACAAAAAAATATTAAGGAGTTATTGACTGAGTTAGAAAAGTCAGCAGGGCGGGGGAAAGATTTAGTAGTAATGGAAGTGGATGCCGAAAAATTTCCGCAGTTAGCCCAAAGACCTCAATTTCGGGTTTATTCGGTGCCAACTGTTTTTCTTTTTCACCAAGGCCAACTAATTAAAAAAGGCAGTGGAAGTATGAGTGTTCAACAACTAAGGGAGTTTATTAATATTTAAGCAAGGCCCGTTGGTGAATCGATTAACACATATGCCTTTCACGCATACATGACGGGTTTGACTCCCGTACGGGTCACCATAACTACATGTTATTCTCGGTATTTTTTCAATAATAGCACCTTAGATTGGTGAATATAAATTGACCTATTTAAAACAAGGAGGTGTAGTTCAACGGTAGAACATCGGCCTTCAGATCCGAACATGTGGGTTCAATTCCTGCCGCCTCTGCCAAAATTGCCCAAATCGCGCAATTGGTAGACGCAGCGGGCTTAAGATCCGCCAAGTGCCGGTTCGAATCCGGCTTTGGGTACCATGGCAATAGGTTCTGTGGTGTAGTGATTAACACGCCTCCCTGTCACGGAGGAGATCGCGAGTTTGATTCTCGTCAGGACCGCCATTAAAATTAAATTAATGATAAAAATAAAAATTAATGATAAAAATAATAAGGAAATGTCCTTTCTTATTTTCAAAAAAGCTGCTTCTTTTACGCTAAGAAAATATAAAAAAAATATGTATTTTCAAAAGAAAAAAAAATAAAATTATTTTAGGAAAATGAGAAGAATTTATTGGTCTACTCTCAGTGATACTCAAGCGGAGACGGATGGCAATCATATTATAATCAAAGGAGAAGTCAAGGCCAAAAGTAAGTTAGAAGTAAGTGTTGTTGATGAAAAAGACAAGCAAGTAAGACGCTTTATCGACGTCAAACCAGGAGAGCAGAAGGTATTAATAACAATGAAGTTTCGCTGAGAGATTCGCGATAATTATCAGGATACTGACACCGAAAATATTGAATATATTATAAAAAAGAATGATGATTGCTGAAAAATAAACAAGGATGAACGAGGCATGATAGTAAAAAATGGGGCCGAGTATGAGAAAGCCAGAAAAGAAATGCATAAAAAATTATTAGAGGGAAAATTCGCTGATAAAATTAAAGGTAATGACAAGCATGAGGCGGAGGGGGCAGATATGAAATATACCATTTTGAAGGACGGAAATAATGACTATAAAGTAAAAATATATCACGGCGATACTGGTCAGGATTGGGAATTTCCTTGGGAAAAAGTAAAAATCGAGCCTGTTTATTATGGATTGACTAAAGAACTTGGCTTTAATGACCTTCATGATGTTAAATACCAAGAGGAGGAACAAAAATCCCCATGAACTACTGGCTGAATTATTTTTTTTGTTATTTTGGGGGTGGTTCTGCTTTTAATGGTTGTCTTTTGAAAAAAGATTTGAAAATGAATCAAAGGGGAACGGGAGCAAGAAAAAAAAGTTAGAGAACAGTTAGACATCTTTTAAAATTAAAAATATCATGAAAAAAAAAATTCATTTACCAGTTCATCAAATAACTATTACTTGTGTATATTGTAATCAGGAATATAAAACTGTCTCCACTTCTTCTCAAAACATTTCTAATAGTAGTTGTAGTAATTGTAATCCCTTTTATACTGGTACTTTAGCGAGTGAAATAAATGTAGGGGCAGTAGAAAAGTTTCGACAACGGGCTCAAAAAACTAAGGCGAGGGCTTAAACAATTAAAGCAAGCAATATTATTAAGCAAAAGTTCTGAATAAAATTTTTATAAAATAAATTGATAACAGAATTAAGCAAAAAGTTTGCAAATACATTTAGGGTTCTTATTTATCCTACTTACTAATATCCATGGTAATTAGGAAGTAAAAAATATCTTCACACTTTAAACTTTACCGGAAGTAAAACAGGGCAAAGTAATGCTCTAACTGGATTTCTTAGCCGATTCCACTGGTTAGAGTATTAAGTCAAAAGCAATTGGCAACAGTTATCTAGTCTGCTAATACTAGAAAATAACACAAAATTTAAAATATTTAAAAAACAATATGGTAAAAGAAAGTTTTTTATTTCTAAACCTTTTTTATAAAAGAGCGAGATGAGAAAACAAAAGGTTTAAGCGCCTTTTTCGGGCGATAAGTCTAAATTTTTTTTTGTTGTGGGAAAGTGTTGCGGTAAGAGAAATTTTTGATGAAAAAATGTTTAGTTTATCAATAACAATAATTAATTTAATGGCTATAACAGTCTTAACTTACTATCACTGAAAGCAATTAAAAAAATACTCGCAAAGAATCGCTAAAATTGATAAGTTGATTGCCGAGGAGTTAACTAAATCTAACTTCTAGAAAGGGGAGTTGAACACTCCCCTAATAATTTAAGTAAAAACTTCAATTATTATTAAAAATTAGGTCTAATTCCTTAAAAGGTAGTTTTTGCCATAGATTTTTTAATTTTTTAAAGTGCTTTGGCGGTGTAGTTTGCGGTGAAAATTAATAGCATAACGGTGAACTTGTTCTTGACAATTAGTAAAAAAATTTTTAATTCGTTCATGTTTTCCAAACTCTAATTCTTTTAAATTATTAGTAATAATTTTGGCGGTGTGGTGTTTTTCATCCTTGGCTAGTCCAATTACTGGGATTTTCAATTTAAATTCCTTTAAAACTTGTTGGGTAGCTTTTACTTGCTCCTTTCCTCCGTCAACTATTATTAAATCTGGAATGGATTCTGGTGAATATTTTTGGTAATGAATATGGCAAGCCTTTTTTATTCGGGCTAGGTCGCTCTCTAGTTCCATTTTTTGCTCTGCTGAAGACAAGCCCTCTTCAACCTTATTTTCTAAGTTGTATAATTTACTTTTGGTTAAATTCCTTTCCCCATTAATAAAAGTTAAAAAACCCGCCACTACATCCTGTTTATAGAGGTTAGAAATATCTAAACATTCGATATAATTAGGGGTTGGAATGGATAAAAAATTGCTTATTTCGTTCAATATTTGACCTTTATTAACTTGTTGAAACTCGTTTCAGTAATTTTTTTGTCAAACTTGCTGAGCATTTTGTTGAGCCAAGTTAATTACTTCTTTTTTGCGACCTCGTTGGGGTAATTTGTAAACAAATCCTAATTCTTCTCCTAATAGTTCAATTCCAGGTAATTTTTCCGGAGTATAAAGTATTTGGGGTGGGGGGTTATTTTGATAAAATTGATAGAGGTAAGTTTCGCAAATTTCTTCTTGGTTGTTCCAAACTGGAAAAGCCGCTTCATCAGCAGCCACTAATTTTCCATAACGATAAATAAGGAGACAAAAGGCTAAAACATTTTCTTGCCTATAAATACCTAAAAAGTCACAATTTTCTTTTTGAATAAATTCAATGTTTTGTTTGCTGGTAAAAAAGTCAATGTTATCCAAGATTTTTTTTTCTTTGTGGGCGATTTCGAAGGCCAAATTAGTAATATTTTTTCGGAGGGAGGTTTTTATTTTCTTTTTTATTTCCTGGGTTTGCCCGCGAAAGAATTTGCGAACCTCTTTTTTAATGTTTTCGTAATAGGATTTATCCACTGTTTTCCAACAATGACCTGAGCATTGGTTAATGGTGTAATAAAAACAAGGTTTATCTAGTTTGCCTTTACATCGGGCTAAGGGGAATAACCTTTCTAATAATTGTAATATTTCCCGGGCCTTACTGCCGTCGGGGAAAGGACCAAAATACTCATTTGGACTGGTCGGATTAATTTTCCGCACTACTTTATAGTGAGGATTTTCTCCTCCTGTAATTTCTAAGTAAGGATAATAATGACTATCTTTGAGGAGAACATTAAAACGGGGCTGATACTTTTTGATTAGGTTTTGTTCTAAAATTAAGGCCTCTTTGACATTATTAGTAATAATGGTGTTGAGACTATGGATTTGCTGATAAAAATAATTATCTTGGGAGTTGAAAAAATAACTACTAACTCTCTTTTTGAGATTTTGAGCTTTACCAACATAAATTATGTTTCCAGTTTTGTCTTTAAATAGGTAGCAGCCGGGTTGATCGGGGGTTTTGGCGATTATTTGTTGATGAGTAGACTTATTTTTTTGTTCGTGAAGCATTTTTATTCTTGTTTCTTGTTATGAATAAGAAATTTTTAACACTTGCAAGACCACAAAGAATAAAGAAACAGGCTTAGAAGAGAAAGACAGAATATTAACTAATCAGATTCATACTTTTAGCAAAGAGTTGCGACCAATTAAACGACTAGGTCAAGTCAGCCCCGAGATTTGAAATCAAATGTTAGTTTCCTTGTGAGAAGAAATTATAGGTAAAAATAATGAACTTATGATATCTCTAGAAAAAAAGAAGAATTGAAGTTTGTCATAAAAAGAATTTTTTTTTTTTTATCTTTTTCACGTCATTACTTTACAAAGAAAATATTTGTAAGCCTTATTCCTCTTTTAAATCAAACATTTAACTCTTATCAGGATACTTGTAAGGAACCTCTTGCTGAGCGATTCATTCATCTTCCACATTCAAACTCTTCAAACTCATAGTAGACAACTCTTGAGTAACATTAGAAAGCGATTCACTATGAAGAACAGTTCCCTTCAGCAAGCAGTTTGGATATCTTATCTCCTCAGGTAAATTCTGATTAAATTCTTCAGCAATTTTTACTTGTTCAACAAATTCAGTATTTATTTCATCGCTAATCTCACTATATCATTTATTACAACGCCCAAAAATAATGACCACCCCCACCATCCAATTTTAAATTATGAAAGTAAAAAGTAAATTAAAGAA